CCTTAAATTTCTATATTAATACATCAAGGGACTCTTTCACCCTGAGTTTCAGAGTTTCCTGGAAACTGCCATCTACCACCAACATAGCCATATAAGAGAAACCACAACATAGCTATATACAGTAAGAGAAACAAGTATCGTGAAAATAATCAAACAGGCAATATAGTCAGAAGAGTCTGGTTACAGAAAACACTTACACCCCATTCTCATAGATTAGATCGACCTACATTGGATCGACCTAACTCCCTGGGGGTTCACGCTAAATAGCTGTCAGACGGGCGGACACGAAACTTAATTACCCCTTAAAGCTTGTAGTAGGCGGGGACGGACACTTAAGGGGGATTATCTGACAGTAATCTAGTNTGTTTTTGCTGATGATAACCCTCTCTCTCCTCCCTATATTTTCTCCTCCTCCCACACTCTCACCTTCTTCTCTCTCTCTCTCTCTCTCTCTCTCTCTCTATCCCCTCTCTATCCCTTAAATTTCTATATTAATACATCAAGGGACTCTTTCACCCTGAGTTTCAGAGTTTCCTGGAAACTGCCATCTACCACCAACATAGCCATATAAGAGAAACCACAACATAGCTATATACAGTAAGAGAAACAAGTATCGTGAAAATAATCAAACAGGCAATATAGTCAGAAGAGTCTGGTTACAGAAAACACTTACACCCCATTCTCATAGATTAGATCGACCTACATTGGATCGACCTAACTCCCTGGGGGTTCACGCTAAATAGCTGTCAGACGGGCGGACACGAAACTTAATTACCCCTTAAAGCTTGTAGTAGGCGGGGACGGACACTTAAGGGGGATTATCTGACAGTAATCTAGTGAGACTCCCCGCGGTGATAGATCGATCTAAAAGTTGTGAGAACAGAGCCTTACACCCTGAGTTTCGTAATACTGACATATTTCAAACTCTGAAAATGACTAAACCGAACTGTCAGCAATAACCTCACTTCATGCCAAATAATGAAATATGTTTTATGAGCAATGTTTTCATTTACATTCTTCCTGCCCATTTCTCTCACAGCCTGACATTATAACAACATATTTCAGGACCCCAGTATTTAGAATACCACACCACACTAAGCCAAAACTCCAGCACTACAGGGGCCAGCTTTACAAAATAACCCGGGGACAAATGTTGGCCTTGCCTTATCTCTTAAGAAATGTTTGGTCTATATATTTCATTTCAGAATAAATCTTTCTTACGGTAGTTCACTTCAATTTTAAAAGTGACTAAAATGTTGACAGTAGTTTACATTTTTCTTTCCATAAAATGGGTGCAATGTTTTAAATTGATTGATTTTGTCCTTAAACTTACACCCACTTGGGGTTTAAAGTTTTTGTTCTCTCTCTCTCTCTCTCTCTCTCTTCTATCACATCTTTGCAGTCCCACTATTATTATCTTCTGAATAGCTGAAATAGCTTGACCATAAATCACCTGGTTAAGGTAGCAAAACAATCATTTGAACAAGGCAGTTTACAGTGTCATGGTAGCTTAAAACAGCCCTAATGTGCACCCCGACACGCTCAGTATCACAGAAGAAAAGACACTTCTGTCCAGGCTCTATTATCTATGCCAAGATCACAAGGCTTTTTATGCTCGCTACAAAAATGAGACGTAATAGAATCGTACACAAAGTGCGAAAGAGGAGAAAAGTGGAAACAGATCGTATCTGAATTTTCCTTTTGAACTGGTGACATATTCTTGACCTGATCAAGTAAGCAGACATTGTTATATGAAAATATTGACTGGGGATAATCCACTCCAGTGAAGGAAATAGTAAAGATATATTCTTATCAGTGTAGCTACATAAGAGACAGGATAATGAGTATAAAACGGGAGACTTTTTTATTCAGGATTTCCTTCCCTACATCCTTCCTAAAGACAGGAATTGTTGGAACTTTTTAGGTTTGATTTATTGTGGTGCATTACAGTACTATCCCTGTTTTACTTCTCAACACTCTCTCTCTTACCTCCTTCTCCTCTCTCTTTCTCTCTCTCTCTCTCTCTCTCTCT